GTCTTCGATAAATAAATAAATAAATAATAAACGTTGTATCAAAATTCGAAGCGGGAAATCAGGGACAGTATCTGTTATTGACAAGTATAAATTGTGTATATACTCTATAGTAGTATATATACTCTTAAATTAAATTAAATGCTCAGTAACTAATTAACTGTTCACATTATTTCATGTGACTAATTCGAGAAAGCATATTTTTGTATGGAATGAATTACGGCGAGTCTCGAGCGATAGAGGTCTCCTTACTAACCATGGTCACCACACCATGCTCGCGAATGTTCATGTGAAATCCTTCGAAGAGCTCAGCTTTATAATAAACCTCATCAGAATCGCAGCAACAAAGTCAATCAAAAGGGCACTACACAAAAATTGGAAACTCCAACTTAATGGAAATGTTTCTTTTAGATGAAACGTTGGAAGAAAAATAGTTGCAAAGAAGCTAGTGCCAAATGGAATAATAGTGGTCAGCGAAAGTAGGACAAGAATCTGGAAGCAACATCACTCCTGAAAAGAGCGATTATTGCCAATTGTGAGAGAACTGTAATAATAAAATTCAGAATAAAGAAAATTCAAGCGATATAACGAAAATCAACGAAGCGCTATCATGCGTAGCCCACCTTGATCGGTCAATGTTATGAACGTCGCTGAGGTATTGCAGATTCGAGGTGAGAGGCGTTATTTCTAGAAAACTCCTAGAATGGAACGTCGCGGGATCGTCCCCGTCGAAATATCATCGCGTCATCAATAACAACTAACCCTTCTCTTTAATTCGAGCTGCGAGGTACAAGACATGATCATGAGTGATGATAGTCTATTTTCAATTATGTTGAAATGCATTTGCTTATAATATCGTCGATAAAGGGCAGAGGTGGTGTAGTGGCAACTAGCGCACTTCACACACGTACCCACACATGGTCAAGGGTTCAAGTCCCGGATCGATATCTGCCTAGGCAAACCAAGCCTTCCATTCCTCCGGGTTCGGTTGATTGACGCCAGATTCGTCTGGAAGGACAAAAGCACTGACTTGTACATCGGCTGCCACCTCAAGTCATTGTGCAGGCCACATACGCATTCAATACGTTACTACGATTCTGGATGGAAGACGGATTGCAAGCGCATCCTCAGACGGGATTGTTCAACGTCCCGAGATTTTATCCTTCATTCTTCTATCGTCGACGAACTTACGTTACACTCCAATAGCTCGAGTCTTCTCTATCGCCTCCTCATCTGCGCCCATCTGGACCCAACGTTCGGGTCATTTGGGCTCCGGATAAAAACCCCTCCATGTTTCGTCTATAGTACATATACGCTCCAAATGTGACGGGCTACTCTAAGCATCATCCCAATTTTGAATCTCTGCTTATGTGAGGGCCTGAGTAATTGTACTCACATCGCTCTGAATGTTTTTTTCTTGTATGATTGGGTATAAGGTTTCGGGGGAGATACCATTTTGGCAGGAAATTCCAACAATGGTTCGGCCTCTGCGGTCCACCACTCGACGTTTGATTTCATTTTTCCGCTCCTCTTGATTGATCTAGTTTGGGTGAGTTGAAGGAGCGAGTTTTCTTCTATGGACGTCGCAATTAGAAATTCCACGTTGATTCCAGCCTCCTTTTAAATTTCGAACATCCATACTTATCTGCAGCCGTGATGAGGAAAGTGAACCGTGACGTACCTAGCTGTGGTGGCTTCTGTTCGAAAGAATGTCGACCGTTTCAGCATCATTGCTTCTCCCACGATCCCTTCAAATGTTAGCGCATCTCTAAATGAGATGACCTGGTATATCCACACTTCTTCGTTCTCTTTTACCACGGGTACTTTTTCACTTGAGGACTCCAGCCGGTTGGAGCAAGGCTACATGGCGCATCCTAGGTGGAAGGTAGGGAAATAAGATGAGCACTTAAGATTTTATCAGAGTTTATTCATGGGCTCTCATTTACCAGAATCGGTACACAGAGAACTAGCTGCTTTTGAAAAGTTTCGGACTTCAAAAGGCAGACACTCGGACGCTGTCCTCTTCTCTATAAGTAACATCGTTATAAAGGGTTCAGTTGCCTGATATGAAACCACCTCTGGGTTCTCATAACATAGCTCCATGCCTGAGTATCGCACAAATAATAAGGATTGCGTGTTTCAAACTTTCCAGGTGATATCGCAGAATGTGATTGACCTTGTTACCAGTTAAACTTTTGGATGTGAGTATTAGATCCTTAATGTGCCTATCTGTAGTAAGGTTTCTGGATATGGATGGGTGTATGGTACCAGTGCGTCGAATGTAGGGCGCTGCTACATAGTTTGGACGCGCCAAGGCCAAGCTTGCTCTTCGTCCTACCTCTCTTTCTGCTTTGCCAATGTCCCATGTCCATCCTGGTCAAACTTCAAAAACATATATTATCGAAACATCGCGAAACTGTTTCGCAATAGCCAACTTGGAAAGAAAAACTTCTCCCCAACAATAGTGGAAAACTAATTATGTAGCGAAGCTCAAAAGGAGACAATGACTATATTCGACGTTTCCCTCTATAAAAGGTCCTGGATGTCAGTTGGAATCAGAATCAGATTCCTTTTACAACTTCACCTCTTCATTACTTCGATCATTCAGTCGATTAGTTCATTAACTCGCGTTCATAGTTAGGCAGTAGCTCTATGCAAAATATGAGACTTCTATAGTTTCCAGCAGTCGCCCATATTGCCCATAGTAATTGATGCGCGATTAGGAAGGATCCATGTGGTGGAGAGAAAGATTCAGCGCTTTAAAAGACCATATAGGGGTTTCACCACAAGAGCTGGCAGACTGGTAGCCATCGCCTAAGTCGTGGTAGAAGTCTCGTACAGATACTGCTGTCGGCGGCTATACTCCCCCTCCATCCTGAACTGTAAGTGGGCGACATTTTCAAGAAGATCATCACGACTACAGCCCTGATTCTAATAGCATCTAATAAGTTCTTGTGAATCCTCAAAATAAGTAACTATTTTGAAATCAAGTAGCAAATTAAGTTTTATGGAGTGCTTTTGAGACATTTCGCTAATGGTCCCCTCTTCTCAATTCTCCGTAGGTTGGCTCTGTCGAATCTCAAAAGGAGGTTGAGAGAGACCAGCTAGTGACCCGCAACGAAAGGAAAATCCACGTTAACATGAAGAACAGAATGTTGTCAAGTTGATCGTCTCCACGAATTCTGCCTAAGACCCAAAGACCTTCCATTACAATTCAATCCCAATCTTTTCACAGAGTGAAGGTCAATTCTTCGAAAACGAGGATCAGTTCACTTGATTTTTCAAAAGTTACTCAGACGGGCTCTCAAGAATATTGACTCTTCGAATGGGTTCGTATTCCCATGTGAAAAATTGAACCTTTTCATAATGTTCGCAAATCACGTTGTCGCATGATTCCTTACACTCGAACTTGCTTCCACTATTTATGGATACTTCCTTTCATTGATAAATATTATTTTCTCCGAACAGATCATGAGAGAACAGTTTCTGTTCATACTCCTTGCATTATGTGCGACCATTAACGCCATTTTGCGGTGAGTTCTACTATTCACACGAATTATTGCGAAATTTCCTTGAGCCCTCCTTTTAAGAATGCCCCTGCTGAAATCGGCCCACACGCATAAATCTGTTGATGGGAAAGCGGTTGCGGAATTCCTAAAACACAAATACATCGAAGGCTACGTTTTTACATCGGAAAATGCGACCAATGCAACGGGTATCAGCCTGCCGCTCAACCAATCCTCGAATGTAAGAAAAAATCTATGAACATCCCCTTGCACAACTGCTCAAAGTACAGAAATATTTAGTTGGCTTATTACGGTATCATCCATATTGGAACTCCTGCTCAGCAGTTCCATGTTCAATTCGACACTGGTTCTGCAAATCTATGGGTTCCTTGCATGGGGTGCGATGCCACGGACAAAGCCTGTCAAAATCATCGTAAGGTGGGATGTTTCATTGGAATCAGAATGTAGTCATTTCCCAGTATTTCGACTTTATTTATAGTTTGACTGTCAAAAATCGACAACGTGCAACGCTACCAACAACCAATTCGAGGTACAATATGGAAGCGGCATTGTTCAAGCAAACATCGACTACGATATTGTTTGCGTAGGTCTTCTCACCTCGAATGCGAAAGACACCGAAAATTCCTTCTTTGCGTTTTGCAGTTCGGATGCCCTTGCAGCTACTGTACCAACAGAAGCCAAGGATTTGGTTGTGCCACTTCAGAGACGGGGAAATTTGCAGTAAGTGCAGCCTGTTACGGTGCTTGACAATACAAGAAAGGCCTATATTTTAGACCGAAGTGTACGACGGCATTCTTGGTATGGCATGGAAATCAGATGCGCAAGGCAATATCTCACCACCTCTGGATCAAGTCTTTGCCAACAAGGTATTTACAATTATTTTCTCCAGCATGGGTACTTTCAAGAAAGCTAGAAAAATGAATAGGCACGAGCTCAATATTACAATTGCATCGAAAAAATCATAAAGGAATCGAGATTCACTAAACTGCTCAAAGAGGGTTACATGTATTGAACGCCTATTCGAACAATTCGACTGAAAACACATGCTTACGTGTTTACTCTTTTTCCAATGAAATAATCCACTTATGTCGAAGAACCTAAAAAAAGTGGGCAACGTTGAAAAACCATGAAAATAAGTAGAAGTGTAGAACACCTTCTTGAATTTTCGTGAAGATGTTGTTCTAAGACAACCTCACGTGCAGCCAACCATTCGAAGAAGAACAACTCTGAACCGTGCCGTGATCTTCCAAACAGGTGCGACCCCAGGTGCGCATAAGGGATAATAGGAGTGGTCGTCCTTCCAGGAGACGTAGCAGTCGAAACTGCTATCAAATTTGGTCAGTAATATGGAGCTGATGGGGCATCGCTACAATGCCTCAGGATGCGACACACTGTCCCAAGCTTACGCCAAAGTGTCCATAATCTCCTTTTTTCAATATTCAGAAAACGTGCCCGGAGGCTCTTTTCGCTTTCTACATGGCTTCAAGCATTAACGACCCAAGTGTTGTTGGAGAGCTCACAATCTGTGGTATGGACCCGGCTCATTACAAGGTTTCCTTTACACTTTGCCTTTCGAGCTCTGATCCGGATTAGAAATCTGTTTTCTCTTAGGGAACTATCGCATGGGTACCTCTGATAGCCGAATATTTGTGGCGGATCCAATTGGGACCGGTGTATATCAGAGGAATGACGTTAACTACTGGTGGACAAGAAGCCATTGTTGACACCGGCACTGAACTTATTACTGCGCCAATGAGCATTGTGCAACAGGTGATTATCACTGATGCAGAATTTCCTTCAGGCTTTATCTTGTTCTTTAATTCAATTTTCAGATCCAAACTGTAACGGGAGCCAAAGTAAATTCACAAGGAGCATATGAAATCGAATGTAACAACATCTCCACTTTGCCAGCAATTGTATTCACTCTTGACGGTCAAGACTTCATTCTTGAAGGACAAGACTACGTCATTCAGGTACTGACTATATGCTAAGCTAAAGACTACCATAAATGTAAATGGAGGATATAGCTACCAATTGAATTGACGAAGTAACACCAATCTCACTGTAATTTTTTCAGACCAACCAGACCTGTACACTTGGTTTCTTGGGACTTGAACTTCCACCTCCGATTGGTATGCCTCCTGTGAAGGAACTTCTTTATCGCCTTTCCAATGAGTGATTTCCAGGCCCCATGTGGATCCTGGGCGACGTCTTCCTTCGCAATTTCTACACTGTTTTCGACCATGGAAACAAGCGCGTTGGATTTGCCACGAGAGCCTCGCAGGAATGTGCCAATTCTCCATAGAATCACATTTTATAGATTTTCTATGAAATGGCAAATCTATCAAATAAATATTATAACTAAAGCTAATCTTGAACATCATTATACAATGTAATATTTAGTGCACTGTGAAGTCGAATATTTAATAAACAACGCATAGCTTGCTACCATTAATGAATTCATACTGTCCTACGGAGCACAGTCGTTGCCCTTAGTGAGAGTAGTTGGAGTAACATCAGCGAGTAATAATAACAACAGCAAAGCTTCCTTCACGACTTCAACTTTTTCTTAGCTCTCATGCCATTTTAAACGATGAGATCAATTCAGCGGAAACTTGCAGAATTCGACAGCCCCTTTGCGATTCCATCACCTCTTCAAGTCACAATATGCCTATTCGCACCTTGTGATGTATGTAGTATGTGGAAAGTGTGCATGACTAATTGCACGATCCATTGCACAATTTTTGCAGCAAAAGTAGAAGATAACAAAAGCGGCTCTTGCTAGAAGCGTGGGGAAATAATCCTTAGATTCGGTAGTGCGAGGGATAGAGCACGGTGCCCGGAAAGCACAGGTATTGGTCCGAGCCCCGTCCGAGACTGGAATTTTGTCCATAAATCGCCAACTCTGTGAGACTTTCGGAACGCCTACTGCGGCGAAATAACAGCAGTTAACAAAACATCAAATCCTCAGATTAATCAATAGTTACCCATATAGGTGGGTCAAGCACAGAAAGAACCGTAGAATGTTCAAAGGTTGTTTCTGGCACAGGTCTCCAAGTTCTATTTGGAAGGAGCTAGTGCTGTCCATTGATAAATTGAGAATCACGCGACACTTAGACGGAGCGCGACCTTATAGGCTCTCATGTGCTGATGTCGGTGTAGAATGAAGCTCATGGGAAGCTTCCCGCGGCATTCCTGTACGTCTACCCTGGGGATTCCGTTTTTGAACTTGAAATCATGATCGATATAGGAGAATGGGACATACCAAGAAGCCAGCCACGGCAAGTTGAATCTCGACCGGCTTCTTCCAGCTGGTTATTTGTCAATAGTTCTAAACCTCCAGTGAAAGGAAGCGAGGCTGCTCTGGCTAGGAGTATTTCTAGAGACTGAAGTGAATTTTATGAGGGCTATTTCATCTGTACAATTGACCTCCATTCAAAAATCACAAAGTAATTCGACCTCACGTGGACACGGTGGAAATGATTTGATTTTCTAAAATTCTTTAGCATCTGCTACCACACCTTGCACGCTCAGTTCAGCCGATATTTTAAGAGATGATAAAGATTAGATTCGACAGTTTGTCATGGTAAGAGAATCTCGCCTGAAGGAAGCAGAATGGAATGAACGGGGTGGAAAACTATTCAAGTACACCGTGTCTACCTACTTTTCTCATGGTAATCCGTTAATTTTACTGCTTTTGGCGAATGGTACCCACGAGTAGCTTGCCGGCTATTCCGGGGTGGACAAGGTCCTTCGATTCTTACCGTAGATTAGAGATCGCCTCTCCGTTACCGTAGAATAGCGTGATTATTCAGAAAAAAATGTTATCTATAATAGATGTTGATCTACATTGCCAGGTACATGTTGTTGACTCCAATGGTGCGCGCTATAGCACACTATGTGATGTTGAAAGATTGGGAACTATAGATGAGGTTAACATGTAGGAGAACACATTCTGGCCAGAGAATATGCACAGGAGGGGAAAAACCTTGTCGTATAAAACACATCAAAAGTAATCGATGTATCAGTTTTGCCTGGCCCCAAAATGGATACTTCCGTAGGTAGGCTGCCACAGCGATCGTTCATACTGCTTGTTCCCCCTTCCAAAAGCCGCCACTTTGTGTCTGCTACACCGTATGAACGGTCGTGGGATTTCACAATGTCCGATCGTGATCCCGATGACGTTAATTTTAGGGTATTTAGGGAAATGCAGGCCTTACCCATGAAATTCAATTAAAAAAGAGTGAAGTATGCGCAATGGATATGTGGAAGGCCTCCGTAAATTTCTTGTGACAATCTGTATTCTCAACCAAGCCAAGCCACTTGAGTTCGTACTGAAAACTAGTAATACCAAGTAGTGGTCACCTTTTCGACTTTATGATTCCCTTTTATGGCCTCTCATTAATCGGATCATTTGCTACAGACTGCAACACAACTGCTACGAAGGTGAAAACCGATGATCGGGTAATTGAGTGATTCGATGATGGGATCAATGGAAAGCGAGGGTAGCGACCTTGGCAAAGTGTTCGAACGTAGGAATAGAAATTTCAGCAAAAACATGTGTAATCATTATAAGTAGTTATAAATCATCGATTATACATAATTTGCTAAGCTTATCCATACTTCAACCAGGATACGTTGTTCTCGGAGACAAGGGCGAGTTTCTAAAGCAGGGGCTCCATGACTCTTTCTGGTTGCAAAAATCCTATCACTTGAATCAGACAAGCGTACTTTAGAAGTTCAATGAAGACCTTCACTTAGATCGGGGGTTTCGGATTGGCCTGGTGCTGAATGGTGTACTTCAGTTGCCAGTGAGAAAATGTGGTGGCAGAGTGACCATGTTTTCTTGTGGCTCTTAGTAAACGTACATTGCATTTTTTAGTGTCGAACCTGAATCATTCACGGAATGAAAGGAGTTTGTAAACAACGCGACTCGGAATAGAGATATCAGGCTTGATTTTACTTTTAAAACTGTCTGATCTCAATCATGTTCGATACGGAGCTCAAGGCCAAAAACTTTACTTTCTCGTAGCTTCATTATCGAATCACAGCAACGACCTCGAATGCGTGGTTAGGTTACATTTCGGTTCAACTAACTTAATCTGATCGTCGCTCGAGAACGCCTCATAAAAAGCGTGTGAAACGTCGAGCAAGCAACACAGCATGTTCGAGGAGAAGCTGATCGTTGGTGTGGCTTCAGCCTGCTCTACCCTGGCAATCGCGGCCTGCTTAATTGTAGTGCCATCTCTGTACAACACCATCAACGAGATTCACGATGAAGTCTTGGAGGGAGTATCTGTATTCCGCGTCGAAACTGACTCTGCTTGGACCCAGATGATGGATTTCCAAGTGACAGTCGCCCCTCCAGCTAAACCTCGTGAGAACCCCTTCAGCTCTATCTTCCGTAATAAGAGACAAGCCGGGCTGCCTTCATTCTGTCAGTGTACTCCTCCAACAGTAAACTGTCCACCTGGGCCGCCTGGGCCTCCCGGACAGCCTGGAGCACCTGGTTTGTTTATGCTTTTCTCTTTGGCTTTTCAGTTAGAACATAGTCTTACGAATTTCAGGACAACCTGGTGCACCTGGTCAACCTGGAAGTGACAGCACGGTCACCTATGCCCCAATTACCTGCCCTCCTCGGGACACAAGTTGCATCCAGTGCCCACCGGGACCGGCTGGACCACCTGGACAAGATGGAGCTCCTGGAAACCCAGGACCAGCTGGAAACCCAGGACAGGCTGGATCTCCTGGACAGAGTGGACAGCCTGGACCACCCGGACCCCCTGGAGACGCTGGATCTCCTGGAAATCCAGGAGGCCCTGGACAACCTGGACAACCTGGACAGTCTGGCACCACTTCAACTAATACTCCAGGAGCACCTGGACCCCCTGGACCCACAGGAGCTCCTGGAAATGCAGGAGGCCCAGGCCAGGCAGGAAGCCCAGGAAACGCAGGTGCGCCTGGCCCGGCTGGGCAGCCTGGAGGACCGGGACAACCCGGACAAGATGGTCGCCCAGGAAATCCTGGAGCAACTGCTCCTCCTGGAGGTGATGCTGCATACTGCCCATGCCCACCTCGTTCAGCTGTGTTCGTAGCTCGTCGCCGTGTAGCAGCTAAGCACTAAAATGTGAACCAGTTCCAATTCCGTTTATGAACTTGTCTTAATGTTCCTTAGATGACGGATGTTAGGGAAATAAATGCATTGTTTCACCTCTCTTTTCGTAATGGATTTTTGCAGCGAAGCAACCGAAAGTGATAATGTAAATCATGATTTGTTTATCGTGAAAAATATGTCGAGAAAGCTGTAAGTGGTTGACATTCGCTCCGTTATAGCGTATCCTAGTCTCAGAGCCCCGCATTCGAATTTCTCACAGGAAACAAATACATGCTGGATGGGGGGAAGAGGGTAAATAAGCAAACGAGCCCGTTTACCAAACGTTCCTACGCACCTTATTGATTCGAAGTATAACAGTCCTAATGTCTCTCACGTTTGAGAGCCGTCTATCAGTTCTTATTAGCGGTTGTCACTCCTTGCGCTCATTGTCCTCATCTCAACGCCCATATCTCTTCAAAATTTCAAAGGGTGAGGTTAAGATCAAATGATATTATGTAGTTACTGTGAGTATGGAATATTACAGGTTTGAAAAGGAAGATAAGTTAAAAAGAAGAAATCAGAGAAGAAGTGCAGAAGTGACTGGATTATGGAGATCTAGTAGGAGGTGGAGGGGGATGAAGATCATAGGGAAGAGAAGCGGAGATGTGATAGTGACGTTTGAACGTTTGCGATACATGTAATTGATAGTACTTACCCGATAGTAAAAGGTATAAAAGTTGATGAGGCAAGTAGGGTTATAATTATGCGATATATACTGTTTAACGGGTCCGGGAACTTCTCCCCTAACGCGGCGTCGCACACGCCGCACCCGCCGCCTATCGCAGGATTGCGATGAAAGATTGGAGCGCGCCATTTGTGAGGTAGGGAGTCCTTTAATTATTTGAATTGGCTGGTCGCTCCCTTCAATTTCAATGCGGTATTGATCGTCGTTTATATAAGAGGAGTCATTCTAATTAATCAAGTCTAGTAAACATGGAAACTAAAAAGAAACAGAAGAAAAAACGATAAAATCCAATGAAAAAGCAAGCCAGTCAAGGAAAAATATCGCGCCCTATCGATTTTCGGGAGGCGGGGTGAGTACGGTAATTGCAGTGACATTCGCCGCATGCCGCAAGGGAGAATGCCGCGATAGGGGAGAAGTTCCGTTACCCCTGTTTAACTGACCTAGGCCGCTGATGAAGTCTGCCGCTAACCACGCTCCACCCAATCGCAGCTGGTGCGATCCTACCACAACCTCAGAGGCACACAGTCTTCATTTTGGTAGGACCGATGCAGAACCCAAGAAGGCAACAGAGGCGTCGAGGCAGGTGGAGAGGACCTGCGGTATGGGTTCAACGTCTCCCGTAGTTGCAGAGAGAGACGTATCTTGACGGAGTCGCCCGCCAAACGTGGTCATCCAGTGCAAGGGATGAGGGAAGAGTTTTGCGTGGCGGTTCTCTTAACGAAAACGAATATCTAGGTGATAAAGGGTGATGGACGTGGTGTAATGTAATGCGTCATAGACGCTTTTTTTTCAAATGTATGAGTGTCATTCGATTCATAGGTGAGTGACCATGTGATTGGATATAAGTTCAGGTAAGGATGAATGTGAAGAAGGGCGAGGATAACAACTGGGAGAAGCATCACAGGGTTGGGAAGGTGTCCCCTGTACGAACATTGTATGGTCTAGCAATAAACTTTCTTAATTCTGTGTGATCTGAGCCGTCGTGATAAATTATATAATCTCTTCATGGTCAGTTCTGGATGCCTAGTTCGAAGAGAGTCGGCATGGGTTATTTTTGTCACCTCTAGGGGGTAGAGAGTAGCGGTCACGTCCACAACTCGCCCACCACTTGGAGGAGGATTGAGGGTTAGTCAAAGTCAAATTGCATCTTTATTCGATCTGGAACTCAGCTGAATCTTTGAATAAAATACAAAAGACTGATAGAATGCACACATTGAGAAACTATCTGCAACTATGAAAACAATTTATCCAATTTCACCCACCACACCAACGACTCATCATCTGCTCGTGACGCAACCACTTGGCTCAGTCATTGTTATAAAGGACATGTTCCTGCTGATGCTTTGAATTCCTTAAGTCTTAATAGGTCCGTCTTTTTCACATCAATACGCAAACCCTTCAGGAGGTTATTGGATGCTCTTAACAGCTCAAAGCTTCAACAGACTTCAACATACGAGGAACTATATGCTGCCTCAATTTGTCAAAGGCCTTCCTTGTGCATAACGTTTTCACGTACATTCCTCAGAGAGCCTCAGTATCGGAAAAAACGACCTCAGATTCGACAGGAATGTTGTTAACGAGTGTTCATACTGTTCAAATCCTTTGAAGGGCCACCGGAACACAGTTAATTTGCAGACTGCGTGAAATGCGACCAAAATGTCCCGTGCGCCTAACTAAAAGCGCTAAATTCTGTGAATATGCCACCCCAATGGTGGCGCAATGTGTATGTGAGAAATACGTGTAAAACATTCTAGATCCCAGCAAGAAATATAGCTACAGTGGAGAGTAGCGTCCGTAGACAAAACTAACCCCTCGCTGCTTTTACTATACCAGTCGGTTCGCCCGGGCTTCCCTTTTTCATTAACAAAGTTCGAGCAATCGGCTAACTTTCCACTCCTTCTTTGAAACAAATACTTTCCTTTGAAGTTTGACACAGGAATATCAAAGCAATACAAATGGTATTTAGTGTGGGTCGGCGCTTACGCCTTCGATTGGAAGTGTCGATCTTCTGCTTTCTTTCTCAAACCAGTCGGATCGCCCGGCTAACGCCAGGCTCTCCTCCTTCCTGTGTCAAACACCCTATCCCGAGAAATGTTGAATTGAAGGAATTTTTACCCTTTTTCGAAGTTTATATCCGCTGTTTAGCTGAGAGCGAGTATGAACTGAAGCAGTGCTTGAATACATTATGTCGTCGTAGCATATCACATAGGCCTATTTTTGAAGAAAAAGACATCATCTCAAATCGAATCAAGGCATCAAGTTCAACTCAAAGGCATGTCCCGATGATGGCTTAATTGACTGACAATTGAACTCTTGAATGGTACTCACAAATGTTGTCGAGTGATAATGGATTATTAGATTTGGTTTTCAGCGAACTTTTGTTCGCAACGGATTTGTCACGAATTGAGAATCCCAGATCATTGGCGGTGGGATGAGTTTAGTCTCAAAAGGTATCGAAACAAAGAGAAACTTTGATGTGTCATTGAGTCAGGAAGCTTGCTGGACAGCGGTTGTAGTTCAACAGCAAAAAATAAACCAATTTTATATCTGTTAAGAAGAGTTGCCTTTGATCGGTTCCTATCACTGCATCTACCTGTCCTATTGATTTAAAAATATCAAAGAACAATGTCTGATTACCAAGGTATGGCTGTTGACATGAAGAGAGTAACGAACCTAATCGCTCTAACCTTCTAGGCTCTTTGTCAGCCCTTGCACGTTTGTTACCAATCCTTGTCATCAATCACCTTCGGTCCCTTCGTATCCTACACCCCCTATTAAGGTGTTCCACCGTTAATATGAGAGACGTAGTAGACCTAATGACTCACATCTTCTATGGCTCATTATCTCTTGCAGTTGTTATCAATCTTAATCACTGAACATCTACGGTCCCTTCTTAATCCATGTCACTTACTGAAGTACCAATGCTCCACCGTTAATACGAAGGAGATAGCGGATCCTGCGGCTTTCGCCTTCTAAGGTCCTTCATCGGCTCCATCCAATTGTTACCACCTCTAACACATGTCATCAGAGTTTCCGTCCTGCCCCCCGTACTCCTACCAAATTTGAACACTCTGGGTCCAGGTAAACAGGACTTTTGAATTTGCTTCCCAAAAATTCTATCGCGCACGCCTCGCCTCCTGTGAACGGAGTCTGGTCCTGCCACTTACCATCCTACTTATATAATCGGCTAAGTGTGTCTGTTGGTGTGTTTGTGTGTGTGTGTGTGTGTGTGTGTTTGTGTGTGTGTTTGTCTGACCGGAAATTCATAACTCCTGTCCCACTGAACCTAGGGCATTCAAATTTGAAAGAGAGATAGGGTGCAGTATGGGAACACTGATGGCAGGTAATAGGAAGTGACAACTATCGATAGCAACTGATAAGGAGCCTTAAAAGGCAAAAGCCTCAGGATCCGTAACTACCTTCGAATTAGCGATGAAGCCTTGGCACTTTGGCAGGTGGTGTAGGATGTGAAGGGACCGTTAGTGATTGGTGACGGAGAATGATAACAAGTGATAGGGACTGATAAGAAACCATTGAAGGCGAGAGTCACTAGACCTGTAGTGCACTTTCTTTTAATAATGGAACCTTGGAATTTTAATAAGTCATGCAAGATGTGACAGGATCGTAGGTACTCGGTGACGGGATCGAGAACGGTTGGTGTCAGGCCAGGAGCTGATAAAACTGATAAGGGCTAATGAAAACACTAGAAAGTGTAGAGCATTAATATGGCAATGGCATTAATAAAGAAGCCTTGACAGTTTGCTGAGCGATGTGGAGTATGGCAAGGTCGTGGGCCATCGATAATAGGAACTGATAACAGCTGTTAGCGAGTGATAACAGTACTTGCCAATCGAATTTAACTCCTGTGGTGATTACGATGTGTTTATGATTACGACTATTATATAAATTACGATCGCTACCCAGCAAGGTTTGTAATTCGATGGAAGATCAAGATTACTTAATGTTTTGATATCATTTACGACAAAGCTCGTCCGACCGCCAATAATTTGGGATTCTCAACTAATGATGTACCCGTGGAGGAAAGAAGGTCCAGTGATAACGAAATCTTAAAATAGGGTTATTATCACTCAAGAACGTTAGTGACAACTACTCAATTCTTCGATTGCCTATCAGTTAAGCCTTTAATGGTTCATAATTTTCAAGATGAAGAGCAACCGATTGATACTTTTAATCGTGGGCGTAAGCGTGGGCATGTGGTGCACGCATTGGCGTGCGTAGCCCAACTGGTAAGTTATATTAGGATCACTCACTTCATTCCGCAGAGCTCACTTTACTCTGTTAAACTACCCACAAAGTGACTGCTTTATATGTAAGAAAGAAGTTTTCCATATCACTACCTTTATCATAAACACAAAGTAACCCGGACGATAGACCGACATACCGACATACCGACGAACAGGCAAACCAAGTTACTGCTTTATATATAAGAAGGGTACCCATCAAAATTCAACTGTGAGGTCAACAAAGCCTTGAGCGGTACTCACAAATGGTTGGAGTGGTGATAACACTATTACACTATTATTAGACCAATTGGGCTACGCACGCTAATGCGTTCCCACTACCGCTTACCTACGACTTGTTAGAGGACCAATATGAACAGGATCGGTTGACTATCCATATCATAACTGTTTCCTCACCGTGCTCACGTGACATTTACACTCTTCGCCGCCGCTACGTGACTTTTGGAAGGATGCACAAACGGGCATACAAACAGACACAAAGAATTACTGCTTTACTTTTAGAGACAGTCGGATCGCCCGGCTAACGCCGGGCTTCCCTCCTTCTCATGATAGTGTTGTGATAAACGGCGAACGTCACACTCCACCTTTGGAACGAATGATACCTTTCGGAACAAGTTCGATAGAGGAACAATAGGGCATGTAAACGATTTTCAAAATGCGCCGATGCCAATCCTTTGGTTAGAATCTGTCCATCTCGATCTGTCGTTGTTGATGTTGAAAATAATGACTCATTGAAGATTCAAATGATTGGCATTCAAAGCCATTAATGGTACTAGCAAATGTTGTCGAGTCATAATAATACCATAATCGAATGTCTCTATGAATGTGGCTCCTTTTCTCTACGGATACATCATTAAAAGAGAATCCAAGATTGTGAGCGGTCGGATAAGTTTTGCCATGAATGATATCAAAGCGGAGCAAAACCGTGATCCTTCATTGAATCGCAAACTTAGCTTGGTAGCGGACGTAAGCAAGAAATGAACCAAATTCCATAATCGGTCCCTATCAGAGCACTTGCCCTTCTTGTCGAATGAAACATATCAAAGAATCAAAGCTAGATAGTAAATAACAAAGACGCTAGGATTCAATTAGTGATTGGATCTTGTCGTCCTACCACGTTTGAGCGCCCTTGTGCCAATTCGCGCACACGCCGCCTTCTATGGGCGGAATCTGGTCTTCCGTCTACCGAAAGTGTTCCCATCCTGCCGCCTATGCTCCCGCCCCGTTTGAACGCCTTAAGGCCAAACTGACAAGTTTGGCGCAAACCCCGCTCACTGTGGCCTGACCTGCCACCCACCATTAGTGTTCCCACCCTGCCTCGGGCACTCTTACCAAATTCGCATTTTCTAAGTCCACTGAGACAGGAGTTATTATTTCCCACTCAAACATTCATTTCGTGTAAACCACGCCTATTGTGGGTGGAGTCCGGTCCTCCCACCTACCATAGTGTTCCCATCCTGCCTTGGGTACTGCTAACAAATTTGAAATTCCTGGGTTCCCAGGGATAGGAGTAATGATTTTCCGCTGAAACATTTATTTTGCACAAACCCCGCCCCCTGTGGGCGAAGTCCGGTCCTGCCACCCACCATATGTGTTCTCGTCCTGCCGCCTGTGCTCCTGTGACCAAATTTGAACGTCTTGGGTCCACGTGGGAAGGAGTTATGAATTTCCGTACAAACAGACAGACACAGACAGACAGGCGGATGGACAGACAGGCACGAGCGCTTTACATAAAGTAAGGATGTTAATGAACCTTTCTCTTCACGAAGATATCATTAGTTAGGTATTCTGGATAACCTGCAGTCGCTTAAGTTCTGTTGCAAATAATATCGAACAAAGACAATCCTTCATTGAGTCACAAACCTTGCTGGGTAGCGGTCGTAATCTAATAGCAAGAAATGAACAAAATTCTAATCTGCTTAACGTAGTGCTGCTAATGGGTCCTTGTCACTGCACTTACTCTCACTTTTGTCAACCTACTCTACCATCCCATTTTATCAAATGTAACATACCGAACGGTCAAAGGTTCATCGTAAATACCAAAGACGTTAGGATTTTGATCAGCAGATGGCCTTTACTAGGTCCCTTATCTTCTCTTATCAGTTATTATCGAATATTGTCACCGAGTACCTACGATCCCGTCATATCCTACATAACTCATTAAAGTGCCGATGCTTCACTTTGAATAAGAAAAGCTGTAATCCTATCGAATTCGAACTCCTTTGGTTCACGGGGACAGGAGTTATAAACTCCTCCTCAACCATTTATTTAATAACATCTGATAGAAAGAAGAAAACTCTGGGTTAGGCATAACTGTCCAACTGTTCTATAAACGCGGAGATTGACGAAAGATCATTACACTAGGATGGCCGAAGGTTGAACCACGTTTGAGCGGGCCCTTGAGAGCAGAGAGAGGTAGACCACCTGATGTTGTTTTTGTTTGGAGGTAGTCTGTCTAGTTACTACATTGCCCAGTTTAGTCATCATTGCCGCAGAGGAAATTGTTCAAAAGCTACGAAGAAATTTTGCCAATCAAGGCCGAGCAATCATACCGAATTTTGCGTCACAAAGAGAAAATCCGTGCTTAGAACCGTAGTGGATCACCAATTGTGTGGGACGGTGATCTCGAAACGCCAGAAGTAGCTTTGAAAGGCTGGCGGAGCGTGAAGGTTGTTGAACTACCGCGCTGTGGCGGTTTCTCTGCCGAGGTTGACACAATTGCCGAAAGAATATGGTTTGTTTGATGAGTCGCACGGATACTTCATCTATATTCAGAAGCACAATTTCAGAATAGAAATGCTTCTGCAGCAATAAAATTCTTCATGGCTCATGTCGCCCATAACCTCTAAATGATTATCGTCTGAGAACATTAAAGGCACAGTTCACGATAATTTTGAGTAATCCAGATTATGATGAAAAATGGAAGACAAGATCGAAAATAGTGCGATGAAGGTGGACAACTGTGTGAATTGCTGTTTCCAAAGTGAAAAAAGGCTTCGAAAAACCGTTGAAAAGGGGGCTGAACGAGAATGAGACTGAAAAATGAAGAAGAGTGAGGCGTTTGAACGAGCTATACAACGTGTCTCACTACGTACGTTTGGGTCCTGATGCGAATAATAGACTGTGGTAAGCAAAAATCCATTCACTTACAAGCATAAGTAAACAAAAAACCATAGCAACAGCAAAAGTAGCTCACCTTTCTCTGCCTCCATGAGAAAAAAATTAAAAAAGGGATCCCGGCAGCAGAAAGACTGACAGAGGAAAAAAAGAATGAGAGAAAAACATCGCCTCATCACACGGCGATCAGCTGATTGTGTGTGGGTCCTAGAACGAATAGTTGCAATCTGTACTGTCTTGTTCTAACGTGACATCGATCGAGAGGTGGGAAAGCGAATCGAGACAGCAACAGAGCTTCCACTATGCCCTGACCGTCGAGATTATGGGAGCGAGAGGGGCCCTTCTACCACCCATGGGGGTCACTGAGTATTCCTAAGCTAAGAGCTCAGTAGCCATTTTTATCGTAGACCGTGCCTTTAATGAGTTCATTTGTACTCTAATGGTGAGCTCAGCACAAACGACAGCTTTGCATGACTATTGAGAAAGGATCGCTTACGATGGGTCACGAAGGGCCAGTAATACATATTACACATTCCACATATTATTATACATACATATATTACACTCCATGACTCATTAAAAACCACATGAGTTCCGGCTCACCGCTCGCAACTGAAACTGAAAAGACGCGCGACAAGTGGGTCGAATGCTATTTTCAGTCCATTACGAGCGGAGAACGGCAGTTATAGCAATGTTTCATCGAATATGTCAGTCAAGGTTACTTAAATCGAAATAGCAGAAGCACAGTTGCCAGGGAAAACTAAATCATTCAAGAAGCCTAGGGAATCACCGCGGTTACGCAGAGCATAAACGCATCAGGGCTCTAGAAAGGTTTTACTGAGAGTCAGCTACAGCTTAGAAGCAAAAACTAGAAGCTTCGCTTTTATTAATTCGTTGCTCGAAAGAAAGGGAGGGTATCAATGATTCAGAAACGCAACCCAAGGATTCACTACACAAATTTCCTCGCAGGGCAAAGGCCAGGAATGGGGAGATCTGCTGGTTTGAATAATAATGTGGTGTCAGGAACTACATAGTAATACTCATCGCTATCGATTTTACAATTTTCTTCACACTTTACTACAATCGCTAAGTTTGTGATGCAACTGCAAAAATCAATACTCCGAATTGAAATTGATAACAGCTTGTGCACTCTTTATTCGAACACTTACAACAGTAAATATCAGTTTCGTGTCACCGGCACTGTATAGCGGGGTGGACATGGGCAGTAAATTGCATCACGCCCAGGAGGTCCAGGTCTTCCCGAGTGTCCTGGCTTTCCATCATGCCCAGGCTCCCCGGGTGCTCCCTTATGACCGACTAGTCCAGGTGCTCCATCCTTACCTGGACACCCATCTTCTCCTGGTTCACCAGGTTTTCCGGGTGGGCCCGGTGGTCCGCAAGGACCAGGTCCGCCAGGAATGGGGGTTGATGTTGTGCCGTCCTCACCAGGCTTTCCATGATGTCCATCTTTCCCTGGTTGACCAGGTGACCCTGAATCTCCGGGAGGTCCAGGGAGCCCTGGTTGTCCATCCTCCCCAGGAGATCCACATTGACCTGGTTTTCCATCAGGTCCGGGGATTCCAGAAACTCCATCGGGACCGGGTGGTCCTGCTGGTCCAGGTGGACATGTGACACATTCGGGATACTGAGCGGGACAAATGATAGGAGCGTAAGTGACATTGTTGTCGTTGCCGGGAAGACCAGGTGCTCCTGGCTTACCTGAAATTTTTGGAGTCAACCTTGAATGGAGTATTTGGTAAAAGTATATACTCACCAGGAGGTCCAGGTAGTCCAGGAGGTCCAGGCGGACCAGGCGGGCAATTCACTGGCAAAGGCGTGCACTGGCAGTAAGAAGGCAGGTTGGCTTGCCTCTTACTACGGAAGATGGAGCTGAAAGGGTTCTCACGAGGCTTGCCTGGAGGAACGACCGTCACTTGGAAGTTCATCATCTGGGACCAGGCGGAATCAGTCTCGACGCGGAACACAGATACTCCTTCCAAGACCTCATCGTGGATCTCGTTGATAGTGTTGTAGAGAGATGTCACTACGATTAGGCAGGCGGCAATTGCCAGAGTAGAACAGGCGGAAGCCACTCCGATGGCGAATTTTTCCTCGAACATCTTGTGTTTGAACATTCTACCTCACACCTTTTATATGGGGGGATTTAATTTTCTACAAATCGTTAAACTTCTAAAAAGACATTTCCTCGAAACTGAAAATCAAACTTGCTTGCAGCCATAGCGTAGCATAGCATAGCAATGAATTCGTAATAAAAAAACTGCTTCATCACCGGGAAACCTCAAATCCCTCATGCGTAATTGTGAACTTTGATCTGGAGTTCTCTGCTAGCCTTTTACGACGGCCAATATGAACGGTATTGCGGTCAGTGATGTGACGCTAGATAATTTCAGTTCCATGTACAGTGCGAGTTTCAATCCAGTCCAAGCCGCAAATGCAACTGTGCACCCTATAAAAGGTCGTAAATGCTTCTCATCTACAGCAAAATATGTTCGAGGAGAAGCTGATCGTTGGTGTGGCTTCCGCCTGTTCTTCGCTAACTATCGTTGCATGCCTGATCGTCATTCCTTCACTCTATAACACCATTAATGAGATCCACAGCGAAGTTATCGATGGCGTCGCAGTGTTCCGCGTGGAGACCGATTCTGCATGGAGCAAAATGATGGACTTGCAAATAGCTGTCGCTCCTCCGAGTAAGCCAAGAGACAATCCATTCGCCTCTATCTTCCGAAACAAAAGGCAGGCCGGTCTTCCTTCTTTCTGCCAGTGCACACCACCAGTAGTCAACTGCCCACCTGGACCACCTGGACCTCCCGGACAGCCTGGACAACCTGGTTTGTAGAACTTTTTTTAACTGATTCATTCTTTCTTTAACTAACGATTTTCAGGTATGCCTGGCGCACCTGGTCAACCAGGAATGGACAACACGGTCACCTATGCCCCAATTATCTGCCCTCCTCGCGACACAAGTTGCATTCAATGCCCACCTGGACCTCCCGGACCACCCGGATCAGATGGAGTTCCCGGAATGCCTGGACCTAATGGAAATCCTGGTCAGCCCGGACAACAGGGTCAGCCGGGACAGCCGGGACCTGCAGGACCTATGGGAGATGCAGGAGCACCAGGAATGCCCGGAATGGATGGACAGCCCGGACAGCGTGGACAAGATGGTACCACATCGACCTCAACTCCTGGAGGACCTGGACCTGCAGGACCAATGGGACCACCCGGTAACGCTGGAACACCTGGCCTGCCAGGAGCCGATGGAAATCCTGGAGCGCCTGGGCCAGCTGGACAGCCTGGACCACCAGGGCCACTCGGACCTGACGGTAATCCAGGAAAAGCGGGAGGAAGTGGAGGTCCTGGAGGTGATGCTGCTTACTGTCCATGTCCACCTCGCTCAGCTGTATTGGTGTCTCGTTACACCCACTAACTTTTTAGGAAGCCATTTCAGAAAATTTTCCACATGAGAAGCTCGAAAAAAAATTAGATAGTTTCGTTCTTGAATCACGCTTTCTCACTGAATAAAGATATTACATTTTCTACTTTTGTGCACAAGACATATCATACAAAAATTAAATGGAAAGTTCTCGAAGCCTCGGGCCTCTGCCTCTCGCGATTGGATTTCAAACTGTAATCTACACACGTTTCCATACTTTTAGGACTTGAGCATGAAAAGAAAGGCAACTGATCTAATGGCTCTCACCTATAATACATGCCTCGTTTGCGAATTGTGAGACGAGGAGTCATCAGAAAGCTGTAGTTTGTCTTTGTAGCATACAAGGCGCAGTTTCCATTAAAATGAGCAGTAAGTAGAGAGTCATACCATGCGAAAACCCTTTCAAGTTCCTTCAAGAGGATTCTTTTCCCAGTTCTCAGCATCACTTCTGGGATTTTGATTAATTCGAGCAGCTCATCCTCAACTGCCTGAAGATCACTAACTTTTTTACTTACTGAGGGCTGGAATCTTCGCTGAAGTCAGTTGTAAAAAATTTAAAAGGGGCTCAAAGGGGCGTAGCTTAATGGAACAATCTCAAGCGCGTAAATGAATACCAAAAATCATTAGGAACTAGCTGAATTTAGTAAAAAACCTACAAAACAACCTCGAAACAAGTGATTTTGAGCTATATGTGGAAAGACAGCGAAAGAATTTTGCCGCATTTTGAATTTAAGGAATCACAAGAATGGGATCCCTTCTTCCGCACTAATATCAGGGTCTCAAGGGATCGAACACAAATTAGAACTGCTTGCTAGCACATATACATTCTAGTTCTTCGTATCCAGTGATTCACCCACAACGGACACGGTAAATTTCGAAATGTCCGTTATTTATTTTTACCATGACCTAAAGCTCGCTTGTCTTTCAATGAGATCATTCCAAGACTACCGAGACGAAAATTGTGTTAGGCTCACACTGGGTTACTGTGGATACAGTACAGGCATCATGGCATGGTTTTCTAGGTCATGAGAGCGCCTTGAGGAAGTTATTGTGGAAAGCACTTCCTTCCCGCTCCTTTTTCTTATCTAATTTGTAAAATCATAAGAATAGAGTTCAAAAATACTCTGTTTCAAAGAAGACTATTTAAAAAATGTAAATATAAGTGAATTCGATCAGAACTTGTTGCACTGTTGCAGATATTACTGGCAGCTTTTCCCTATGTTATGTTAGACGGGCTGATAGCATACAATGCTTAGAAGAGAACTCTGATGAACGATCAATAGTTGCAGAAAAGTTTCGTATCAAGGAATAATATGCCGGAAATGTTCCAAGAAACCTCTATTTGTTCAGGAATAGTTTACATTGCTCAGGGGGTTTTTCAAAGCGGTTCTTCAGAGTTCCACAGCTGAAAGCGATACACGTTCATCCGCTTTTTTATTATAATTGCATAAAATAGGCGAGAAAGTGAATCTGCTCCAGAGTGCTTCCAGTGAATTAGACCTAATAAATCATTACAAACAATAATATTATGAGAAAGTATTAAAAAATAT